TGCCTGCAGTGCTCTTTCCTTGGCTATCTGCATGGCTAACTCCCTGACCTCCTTTGGATCTTTGCTCAAATCTCACCTTTTCAATGAGAGTTATCCTGACCACTGTATTGCCTTACCTTTTCTTTATTGTATAGTACTTATAACCTCTTACAATATACTGCAGCCTTTACTTCTTTGTTATGCTGGTTATAGATTGGCTTTTTCACTACCTAGAATGTAAGTTTTATCTGTTTTCTTCAGTGACAGATCCTGAGAGTCTAGAATATGTTGAATCAATAAATAAATGAAGCAATCTGCAAGACAAATTGAAAAACTCCAAGTATATATAACTATTCATAGAATTCTATAAAAATAGATACATAGATAATGTATTGCATGTAGATGCATGCAATATCTCTGGAAGACTATGAATCAAATTGGTAATAATGGGTGCCTTTGGGAGAAACACTCAGTACCAGGGATGGGTAGGAGGCACATTCTATACTTTTAGAATGTGCACCTATCACTTCTTCAGTTAAAAAACAAATTTGTCGAAAAATACAATGCATAGCTAAGCCTAATTCTGGAATTCAAAATTCTTTTTTTTTTTCCTGCTGAGGAAGAGTGTCCCCGAGCTAACATCATTTTCAATCTTCCTCTCTTTGCTTGAGGAAGATTGTCCCTGAGATAACATCTGGGCCAATCTTCCTCCATTTTGTATGTGGGAAGCTGTGGCAGCTTGGCCTGGTGAACAGTGTGTAGGTCTGCACCTGAGATCCAAACCTGTGAACCCTGGTCCACCAAAGCAGAGTGCTTAAATCTGATTACTACACCAACGGGCTGGCCCCTTAAATTATTTTATTGAGGCAACATTGGTTTATAACAATATATAAATTTCAGGTGTACATCCCTATATTTCGATTTCTGTATAGACTACATCATGTTTACCACCAAAAGTCTAGTTGCCATCCATCACCATACAAATATGCCCTTTTACCCCTTTCACCCATCCTCACTCCCCTTCCTCTGTGGTAACCACCAATCTATTCTCTATATCTATGTGTTTGTTTGTTGTTGTTGTTCATGTATCTTCCACATACGAGTGAAATCATACAGTATTTGGCTTTCTCCATCTGACTTATTTCACTTAGCATAATACCCTTAAGTTTTATCCATGTTGTTGCAAATAGCAAGATTTCATCTTTTTTATGGCTGAGTAGTATTCCGTTGCATATGCGTATACCACAGCTTCTTTATACATTCATCCATTGATGGGCGCTTAGGTTGCTTCCAAGTCTTGGCTATTGTGAATAATGCTACAATGAACATAGGGGTGCATGTATCTTTTCAAATTTATGTTTTTGTGTTCTTTGGATAAATACGCAGAAGTGGAAGAGCTGGATCATATGGTAATTATAGTTTTAATTTTTTGAGGAATCTTCATACTGTTTTCCATAGTGACTGCACCCATTTACATTCCCATCAGCAGTGTATGAGGGTTCTCTTTTCTCCACATCCTCTCCAGTACTTGTTATTTCTTGTCTTTTTAATAATAGCCATTCTGACAAGCTTGAGGTGATATCTCATTGTGCTTTTGATTTGTATTTCCCTAATAATTAGTGATGTTAAACATTTTTCATGTGCCTGTTGGCCATCTGTCTATCTTCTTTAGAAAAATGTCTATTCAGATCCTCTGCCCATTTTTCAATTTGGTTGTTTGTTTTTTTGTGGTTGAGTTGTATGAGTTCTTTATATATTTTGGATATTAACCCCGTATCAGATATATGATTTGCAGATATCTTCTCCCAATCGGTAGGTTGTCTTTTCATTTTGTTGATGGTTTCCTTTGCTGTTCAGGTGCTTTTTAGTTTGATGCGGTCCCATTTGTTTATTTTTTCTTTTGTTTCCCTTGCTTACAGAGACATGATATTCAAAAAAATACCACTAAGACTGATGTCAAAGAGTGTACTGCCTGTGTTTTTCTTCTAGGATTTTAATGGTTTCAAGTCTTACATTCAAGTCTTTAATCCATTTTGAGTAAATTTTTGTATATAGTGTAAGATAATGGTCTACTTTCATTCTTTTCATGTGACTGCCCAGTTTTCCCAGCACCATTTATTGAAGAGACTTTCCTTTCTCCGTTGTATGTTCTTGGTTCCTTTGTCAGTGATTAGCTGTCCAGGGATGTGTGGGTTTATTTCTGGGATTTCACTTCTGTTCTACTGATCTGTATGTCTGATTTTCTGCCAGTACCATGCTGTTTTGTTTACTAGAGGTCAAAATCCTTTATAAAATAAGAGTCTTAGCTTTTGAGTTCCTTAGAAGATGTTTAATTGTGTTACCACTAGGTGGCACATACTTACTGATAAATTCTTAAGACTCTCAGACACAGGTTTTAAAAAAAGCTTTTCAGTTACCCAAACTCACCAAAGTTCACTTTAGCTATATATTGCATTGGTTTTTTTCGAGAAATTTCCTTAACTTCAATGGCTTAGTTGCTATATCAGATTTTAGATGATTTTTCAGTATCTATAATTTCTTACTTAGCATCATTATAACATTGGAGTTGCAGAAATGTCTTAAATCTGCAAATGCTAGCTTAAATGTTCTTAAATTAGTTTATATTTTCTAGTGTTTATCAAACTGTATCTGCCTATCTTGTCATCTTTTTCCCTATGAAATAATAAATTAAATTTAAAGATTCTGTGTGTAAAAGTAGATTTTTGTTTGCTCATATTGTTTCACTACCTTTATACCAAATAAATCAGTATCCAGGACCACATGCAAACCACTTTCTGAATGCTTATTTAATATGCAGTGAGATTAGGCAAATGGGTACTGTAGAGATACAAAGATGAAATGTTGCTTATTATCTCTGTCTTCAGGAACCTTTCATTTTTATGGGTGGAGACAGTCATGAATGCAAATAACTATAATAAAAGTCAGAATGTAGTAAATGATTAAATGAAAACATTAAGTGTAATGGGAACCGATAGTTGATATTAATTTGGGGACTCCAAGGATAAGGTGGAATTTGAGAAAGAGCTTTAAATATACAGTTTCATTTTCTGAATGAATTGAATATAGGTGTTATATAGATTTCCATTTCTGTGTGAAGGGTGAGTTATCTCATATCTGAGATAAAGATACGATTATTATAAGCAAGTGGCAAATATGGATTAATAGAAGAAATACCTGTATTCTTTTTGATAGCAAAGTTTTCAAAAAGAAAATGATGGCATGCACTTTATCAATTGTAACATTTAAAAACATAAAAACCTTTTTTGGGCACGTTCTAAAATAACACTGAAAAAATTATTGGGCGAGATAATTTTTATAGTCATTTTTTATTTTTTTTTTCCTTTTTCTCCCAAAGCCCCCGGTACATAGTTATGTATTTTTAGTTGTGGGTCCTCCTAGTTGTGGCACATGGGATGCTACCTCAGCATGGCTTGATGAGTGATGCCATGTCCGCGTCCAGGATTCAAACTGGCGAAACCCTGTGCTGCTGAAACAGAGCACATGAACTTAAACACTCGGCCACAGGGCTGGCCCCCATAGTCATTTTTAAACTAGAGATTCTTTCATTCTATTTTTCTTTTCAAATTACATTTTTTATAAAATTAAATAAACATTTAGAAAAAGTTCTGTATTCAAGTAGAATAACGTTTATTGAGAACCTACTGTGCCAGAAAACTGTCATCTGTTATTTCATTTAATACATACTCATGAAACTTATGATGTATGACCTGTTGTCCGTATTTTACAGATGAAGAAATTGGGGCACAGAAAGTTTAAGGAACTTGTCTGCCATGACACCAAAACAAGATGTGAATGGAATTAATTTTCTTACAATAAGAAACTTGACTTTTCAATTTCTGCCACTTCCACTATGTTACCACTATGTTACTTAAAATTCTACCACTATGCCATTTAAAAGGGAATCAACGTTATTCTAATAAAATGGATTAATATTGACTACTTTGTTACATTGGTCATCTTAACTTTTTGTAACGTTCTAAGGGTGAGATGAATCATATTAAAATATTATCTTACTGAATCAAGAATCTCACCCTCGGGCCAGCCCGGTGGCGCAGGGGTTAAGTTCACACGTTCCGCTTTGGCCGCCTGGGGTTCGCTGGTTTGGATCCTGGGTGCGGACATGGTGCCGCTCGTCAGGCCGTGCTGTGGTAGGCGTCCCACATATAAAGTAGAGGAACATGGGCACAGATGTTAGCTCAGGGTCACTCTTTCTCAGCAAAAAGAGGAGGATTGGTAGCAGTTACCTCTGAGCTAATCTTCCTAAAAAAATAATAAATAATAAATAAATAAAAAGAATCTCACCCTTTTGGCTATTAACGTGCAAAATTTCCACAACTTTGCTGTATTCTAAAGTAATAATAAAATAATGTCAGATACCAAAGTCTAAGTAATATGTTGTACACTGCTTAAATTAGATTTAGTTCCAGCTCAACAGCTAGATCAAGTGGCTATTAAAACAAAAGTATATATTTAGGGGCTGGCCCAGTGGCATAGTGGTTAAGTTCTTGCACTCCGTTTCTGCGGCCTGGGGTTCATGGGGTCAGATCCTGGACACAGACCTACACACCACTCATTAAGCCATGCTGTGGCAATGTCCCACATACAAAATAGAGGAAGATTGGCACAGATGTCAGCTCAGGGCCAATCTTCCTCACTAAAAAGAACAAGTGTATACTTAAAAAGGAATCTTGGGGCCAGCCCCATGCCTGAGTGCTTAAGTTCACACACTCCGCTTTGGTAGCCCAGGGTTTCACTGGTTCAGATTCTGGGTGCAGACCTAGCACCTCTCATCAAGCCATGTTAAGGTGGCATCCCACATAGCAGAACTAGAAGGACCTACAACTAGAATATACAACTATGTACTGGGGGGCTCTGGGGAGAAGAAGAAGCAAAAGAGGAAGATTGGCAACAGATGTTAGCTCAGGGCCAATCTTTAAAGAAAAAAAAAAAGGAATCTTATTATTTTTCTGTTTCTTTAGCCAGGAATATGTAAGAAGAAGAAGAAGTGGTATAAAAGTGCACTACAAGAAGCACACGTCCTCTATGGATCCTCACATGAGCAAAGACTAGAAATGTGCCACCTGTCAAAAAAGGGTATGTGAGTATTTTATTTTTTACCACCCCAAAATAAGGATTTATTCAGATGCATGCTTTCCAAAATATGTTTGCACGTTTAAAAATCTGTCTTTATCTTCATAGGAAAATAGTGTATCTTTGTCCACTGAAAAGTCATTTTCGTGTGGATTAATAGTATGTATTTTGCCCTCTGAAACTATTTTCAGTGTCTAAACATGCACTCTATTTAAACGCAAGGGTTTTAATTAGCACTTCTGTCATCTTCTTTGCTCTTAGACTATCTACAAAGGTCCTCTTGTGTATTTCAAAATTAAAAGCCACAACTTTAAAATATATTTTTGAGGTGAAACTTTCACTTGGATATGCTGTATTATTTCAGAACAAAGTATTCTTCAAAATGTTTTATTTTTAAATAAATTCAAGGCAAAGATAAAAAATAATCTTCAACTTTTTTTAATTAGGTGAAAAAATGATAGTATTTTATTTCAGGTTTTTGTTTTTTTGGTGAGAAAGATTGGCCCTGAGCTAACGTCTGTGCCAGTCTTCCTCTATGTTGCCTGTGGGATGCTGCCACAGCATGGCTTGATGAGTGGTGTGTAGGTTGGTGCCTGGGATCTGAACCTTCGAACTCAGGGCCACAGAAGTGGAGCGTGCAAACTTAACCACTATGCCACCGGGTCAACCCCAGGTTATTTTTAAAAAAATAAAAAGTTCTTTTTGAATCATAAATATTATGGTTTATAGATAGCTTTTTAAATGAGTTCATCATAGGGATTATGGTCAGTATAATACATTTTTAATTCCAAAAGAATATGATTGTCCCATAAAAGTGATAATTTTCAATAAACAAATATGTCTTTAAATTTTTCTGCTTAGTGATCATAATTTTTTATCTTACAAGATCTCTCGTTACTTTATCACCTTAAGTTCTAAAACAGATTACTCTATGGAAGGATCTGGCTTTTGGTGATGACTGATTTTAAAGTAGCAGTGATATTTTTTTCTCCTTTGGAAAAATTTAATATGTAATTTTAAAAGTTATATGTGAAAACATTGTATTTAAGAAAAAGTTTAAATATTAACCCAGTCATGTAAGTTTAGATTTTAAAGCAAATAAGTATGTTCGAAAAGAGTGGAAAAAGAGTGACTAGCACAACTATTTGGAGATGAGGAAAAGAGACGTTTATTACCTCAAATGTAGTTTTATTCCTTATGCTCAAGATATAATGTCTTGGTTTATTAGCAATAAAGGTTGAACTCACTCTGTTGTCACAAATACAATTTTGTGTTTTGCACAGACTATGCATTTCTCTTGTGTAACCAAAATAAACTTTGAAATATTTCGTTTTTTAAGACATTAATACTTTGAAGCAATATAGTCATTTACTTTTTAACGTTATATTACAGCCATTTCACACTAGCAGTAGATCCGCTCTCTCAATAAGTTATGGAACCATGTCTTTGCTGTTGCTGTGTGTGCCAGGGTGTTTATGTCTGGGTCTTTTGGCATTCTTGCTTGTCCAGAGACTCTGGAGAGGGGTTATTTCTGATTGGTTTTGCAGCAGCAGACCATTTTCTTGCTGAAAATCTGATGATTTTTGCGTGCAGAATTTGATGTAATTCAGTCTGATTATAGAAAGCCATATGCCTAAAGACTTTCATTTTGGCCCTGAGATAGCCAAAATGGAGGGGCATGGATAGACTTCCTGGAGTTCAGCCTGTCATAACAGGCTCACTCATTTCATACTCACTCTTCACTATCTCCAAAATAGACAATTTAACCCTTTTGTCTGCTTAGCTTCCAGGGTGAATTCTAGTACATATTCAGCTTCTTACTGTGTTCAAAAGTAGTTTTGAGAGATAATTAGCCATTATTCAGATATCTTACAAAAGGTGAGTAGCTTAGAAGCAAACCACACATTTCATCTTAGCAACTTTGGAGATTTCTTCACCCAGAAATTTCTTCTTCTAACCCAGAGATAATTACTACTCATTTTTTGGCCGAAATTCTTCCTACCCTGCTGAAATTGACACACTATTATGTTTGATGCAGCTCTTTAATTGTTGAAATCTTCAGGGTCAGTATTTGATATGTAAAGATCGATCCAATCATACTATAACAAATTTTAAAGTCCTGTCCACAAGATTTGGTTGACCCGTTTCTGTTGTATTAACTATTACTCCAAGTAAGAATTCTTCTCCTGGGGCTAGAAAGCTTTTTCTTATATAAGAACATTCATTGTAATTATATAGATATTTTTTTTGGAAGTTCTCTCTTTTTTTTTTTTATTGAGTTCACAATAGTTTACAACATTATGAAATTTCAGTTGTACATTATTACTTATCCATCACCATATAAGTGCTGCCCTTCACCCGCTGTACCCACTCCCCAGCCCCCTTCCCCCAGTAACCACTGAACTGTTCTCTTTGTCTGTGTCTGTGTTTGTCTTTCACATGAGTGAAATTATCTGGTGTTTGTCTTTCTCCATCTGGCTTATTTCGTTTAAGATAATACCCTCTAGGTCCATCCATGTTGTTTCAAATGGGACGATTTTGTCTATTTTTATGGCTGAGTAGTATTCCATTGTATATATATCCCACATCATCTTTATCCAATCATCAGTCAGTGGACACTTGGGTTGCTTCCATGGCTTAGCTGTTGTGAATAATGCTGCAATGAACATAGGGGTGCATATGTCACTTTGAATTGTTGATTTCAAGTTCTTTGGATAGATACCCAGTAGTGGGATAGCTGGGTCATATGGTATTTCTATTTTTAGTTTGAGAAATCTCCATACTGTTTTCCATAGTGGCTGCACCAGTTTGCATTCCCAGCAGCAATGTATGAGGGTTCTCTTTTCTCCACAACCTCTCCAACATTTTTTATTTTTTGTCTTAGTTGTAGTCATATTTTTAAAATGAATAGAGTGTTACCCATATAGTCTCTTTATAATTAAGCCTTTGGATTTTTTGTTCTTGTCAGGGTTAATATTTTCTTACATGCTCTATATTTTAGAGTGGATATTTTTATCTCTACCTTTTTTTCCCCAGAATTATTTGTTGTTTTTTTTTAATTGACTTTATTTTTTAGAGCTGTTTTAGGTTTACAGCAGAATTAACCAGAAAGTACAGAGTTCCCATATGCCCCCTGCCACCCTGCCCCCCCCCGACAGCATCCCGCACTATCAATATCCAGCACCATAGTGATACATTTGTTGCAATCTATGAACCAAGATTGACACATCATTATCACCCAAAGTCCATAGTTTACATTAGGGTTCACTCTTTGTGTTGTACATTCTGAGTTTTGACAAATGTATAATGTCATGTATTCGCTGCTGTAGTATCATATAAAATCATTTCACTGCCCTAAAAATCCCCTGTGTTTCACCTATTCATTCCTCCCCCATTCCTACTCCTCCACCAACACCTGGCAACCACTGATCTATTTACTGTCTCCATAGATAGTATGTCATATGTTTTTCCAGAATGTCATATCGTTGGAATCATATAATATGTAGCCTTTTCAGATTGGCTTCTTTCATTTAGTAATATGCATTTAAGTTTCCCCCATGTCTTTATAGCTTTTATTTTTTAGCACTGAATAATATTCCAGTGTTTGTATGTACCACAGTTTATTTATCCATTCACCTACTGAAGGATATCTTGGTTGTTTTCAAGTTTTGACAATTATGAATAAAGCTGCTATAAACATCTGTGTACAGGTTTTTCTGTGGATGTAAGTTTTCAGCTCCTTTGGGTAAATACCAAGGAGCATGACTGCTCAGTTATATGGTAAAAGTATGTTTGGTTTTATAAGAAACCGCCAAACTATCTTCCAAAGTGGTTGTACTATTTTGCATCCCTGCAAGTAATGAATGACATCCTGTTTCTCCACATCCTCACCTGCATTTGGTGGTGTCCAGTGTTCAGTATAGTTTTGCATTTTACATTTAGATCTGTGATCCATTTTAAGTTGATGTTTGTGAAAGGTGTAAGTCCTGTGTCTAGATTCGTTTTTTTGGCATATGGATATCTAGTTGTTCTAACATCATTGGTTGAAACACTATCTTTTCTCCATCATATTGTCTTTGCTCCTTTGTCAAAGATCAGTTAGCTGTATTTATGTGAGTCCATTCTGGACTCTTCTACTCTGTTTCATTGGTCTTTTTTTATTCTTTTCCCAATACTGCACTGTCTTGATTATTGTAGCTTTATAGTAAGTTTTGAAGTCAGGTAGGATCAGGCCTCTGATTTTGTCCTTTTCAATACTGTGTTGGCTAAGCTGGGTCTTGGCCACTGCATATGAACTAGAGAATCAGCTTGTTGATATTTACAAAATAACTTGATGGGATTTTGATTAAGATTGCATTGAATCTATAGATCAAGTTAGGAAGAACTGACATCTTGACAGTTATGAGTCTTCCATACATGAACATGAACTATATCCACATTTATTTAGGTCTTCTTTGATCATCAGAGTTTTCTAGTTTTCCTCACATAGGTCTTGTCTTTATTTTGTTAGATTTATGCCTAAGTATTTCATTTTGGGTGTCAGTAGTGTAAATGGAAATGCGCTTTTAACTTCAAATGCCACTTGCTCATTGCTGATAAATAGGAAAGTGATTGACTTTTATATATTAACCTCGTGTCCTGCAACCTTGTTATAATCAGTTATTTGTTCCAGGAGTATTTTTCTTGATTCTTTTGGATTTTCTACATAGATGACCATGTCATCAGCGAACAAAGACAGTTTTCTTTCTTTCTTCTCAATCTGTACTTTTCTTTCTTTTTCTTGTGTTATTGCATTGGCTATGAGTTTCAGTATGATATTGAAAAGAGTAGTGGGGGGAAACGTCCTTGACTTATTCTTGATCTTAGTGGGAGTTTCTCACCATTAAGTATGATGTTAGCTGTAGGTTTTTGTAGATTCTCCTTATCAAGTTGAGGAAGTTTCCCCCTATTTCTAGTTTACTGAGAATTTTTGTTGTGAATAAGTGTTGGCTTTTGTCAAATGC